TATAATAAAGAATTTTATAACTCATTTCTATCTGCAGAATCCTTTCATCAAATGATATCTTTCAGGGAAACTAACAATGTATAACAGACAAAGAGTAAAACTACTCTTAAAAAAAAAAAAACTACTCGGAGAGAGTGTCAAGGGGACCACTTCCCATGCCCCATTATACTAGAGCATGTTAAGGTGCTTCTCAGCTTCAGCATTCCATGATTATAAGTAAAATCCCTGCAGCCTGAGAAGGAGGCAGGGTCCTAGAGGGCAGCTGCACAAGAGGATCCCCTGGCCCCCATATGGCTGTGCTCCTTTATCAGTGAGCCTCTTCCTAAAGCAAATAAGCAAAGAATGAAATCCCACAGAAACAGAGTCCGACGTGAGGACTCAGGGAGCCAACAGAATGAAAACTCAGCTCCATCCAGGCAAACTAAAACACACTCCAAGGAAGAGATAAGGTTTATGAAAAGGAAACTAACACAATCACTTAAAAGAATTTCAACATTAAACCACCCAGGACAGGCTGCCAGGCCACTGGAAGGCTGCAAAACATCCAAGGTCAGCCCTGAAACACTTCGCAGAGACCCAAGCCTTGATTTTCCTCCTTTGTTTCTCACTGCCCTGGGGTCACGCTCCTTCGGGTCCAGATGTATGGGACGTGGCAATGCACTATACACAGCACACGTTTCTCCTGACACTGAGTCCTACAGGACTTCAGCACTTTAGAAAAAGGAGTTATAGGGGGAGTGACTACAATTTAATAAATCTGGAATTTTACATATATTAGAACAAAGTAGCCAACTCAGAGGGTCATCACATGAAAAACATGACACCATTTACTTCTGAATTTTAGATAAACAACAAATACTTTTTTCACCTGAAATTCAAATTTAACTGAGGATTCCCCTTTTTCTTTTTTCAGAAATCTGGCAACCCTATCCCTCAAGGTGAAAGCACATTCCAGCCATATTTCCAATACCCAAATCATTTTTTAAAAATTCCTCCTTGGGAATGGCCCTTACAGAATAAGAAACATCCCTTCCAATAGTCTCTATAAAGTTAAAACTTCAGCCTCGAAGCTGGATTAAATTTCTTAAAATTGCCAAATGTTATTCATAAATGAATGAGAATGATCAAGCAAGGTGACTCCATTTGGAGCCAAAACAGGAGGTATGATTCTATGTTAATGAAACTAGTTGTCTGTGACAGTCATTATTCTTACTAAATCCCTACTGTATATACACACACACACACACACACACACACACACACACACACCCTTCTGATTTACCCAACTCCTATTCTATGTAGGCATTCTCTAACTCCAAAATGGGTCTTCCCAGATTTCAGGACCCACCAAAGAAGATGGAATTCCAAAAAGCTATTTTACCAAGGTACACAAGAAGGAAGCACCTTTTCAAAAATGTATTTGGCAACAAGAATGTATACTTTCTCCAAGGTGATTTGGGAATCATTATTTCAGAGAGTTCCTGACAAAGAAATTAAGCTAACTTATTATTTAGCATTGGTAAGGTCTACTGAAAATTGGATTCCAAGACAGGTTGTAAAAGAAAGCCAAAATAAGGACTAGAATCATAATCAAGAACTGACCATATTTTTTAAAATAAAATTCAAACCAAACATTTGAAGAATACTTAAAGTGCTTCTATGGATGGAGCCCCAGGGAACATAGTTTGAAAATACCTGACTGGATATTATATAGGTCTTTCCTAGTACTGTATTTCTGTAATTCTAGTTGCTCGTTAATACAGTGTTTTTATAATGAATCCAGACTGTGAAGAAGAAAGATCTGTTTTTTTGGCTACCTATTCAATCTCAGAAATCACAGGCCAATGAGCCTCAGTCAGGTTGGAGTCAGTTCTGACCTTGAAGAGTTCTTCCCTGCAATGCAAACAGCCCCATGTGGTTGTTTTCCCTTCCTAAACCAAAAAAAGTATACAGACATATCTTCAAGGGTCAATTTCCTCATTGAGACCGTGCCCCTGTTATAATGTAAGTGTTTTGCTGAGAGCTATTCATAGTAGTGTCCTTCCTGATATACTCTCTATTTCTGGTAAAAAACAAGGAAATCTACTAGCCTCTTCCTGGCAACACTTTGCTACTCACAAAAGAAAGTGACCTACAGAAACAGGATGGTCATATACAAGGTAAGACTGTAGGTGAAGGACCCACCAGAGAAATGGGAAGAAGCTGGGGTGATTTTACTTTATTCTCCTACAACCCCACCACCCATTTTTGTGTATGAGAAACAAAGTAGAAAGGTTCCCCTATGGAATACTACTCAGCCATTAAAAGAATGAAATCTTGCCATTTGCAACAAAGTGGATGGATCCAGAGGGTATTATGCTAGATGAAATAAGTCAAACAGCAAATGACAAAATACCCTATGATCTCACATGTGGAATCTGAAAAACAAAACAAACATACAAACAAAACAAAATGAAAACAGACTCAGAGACACAGAGTAGATGCTAGAGAGAACGGGGTTGGGGGAGGCAAAGAGGTGATAGGAATTAAAAGGAACAAGCCTCCAGTTATAAAATAAATAAGCCACAGGCATATAACATACAACATAAAGAGTATGGTCAATAATATTGTAATAATTTTGTATGGGGAACAGATGGTGACTAGACTTATCATGGTGACAATTTCATAATGAATGCAAAGGTCAAACTAACATAATATTGTACATCAAGTATATTTCACTTTAAAAAGGTTCTGCAAAATGATAATAACAAGAAATGAATAAATAAATAATAGGGCATGTTCAAAGATATACAGCAAAGCTAAAGTTAGAAGCAGGCCTTTTAATTCCTGGCCCAATGTGACTTTGATTTCAAAAATGAACTGTTAAGAAAAAAAAAGAGTGAACTGTGACAACACAAGGCATTAATGTAAGAGGGAAAGAGAGGAGGGAATAGAAGAATTGCTTGTCTTGTTTGGAGAAAATACGGAGAAGACACAGATCGACACATGACAGATGCATCAGGGAAGGCTATGTGTGTGAAGGAAGATTCATTTGATTCTGTTGCTAATGCTCTGACTCATCTACACTGGTGGCGTCTGTTCCTCTTTGTCAGTGTGTCTCAGGCAATTTGAGAGCAAGAATCATACTGCACGCAGTGGACTCCAGGCATAAATACTGTCACCCCCAGCTTATCCTCCAGGCCCTCTAATTCTGCTTTTTCATCCCTCCTCTTAACTCCTTTCCAATCCCCTAGAAACAAATTCTGAGTCAAGTGTCTACTTTTCCTAATGGCAGAAGCTTTGTGACCAAGAGTAGTAGAACAGAGCCCCAGGCATTCTATGAGATAAGGTGAGAGTTTAGTGGTTAAAGTAAAAGTCCATTGTGCCTTATTCTTCCTTCTAGATCTTATCAACTTGGAAAATAATGCCCTTCACGCAATGGCAAAGAAAAGTACAATGTGGTCTTTAATCTGTCCTTCAGTGTTTATATGTCAGCCATTTGGCACCAAGTAAGCAAACAGGGGTTTTGTTAAGTGGGGAAAAAGTTGTCACTTTCACACAATGCATCTGAGCTGGGTGATGTGATGTCACTACTGTCTTAAGGTAGAACTACCCACTAAGGAGTTCTAAACTTCTCTTGCTTTTATTGGCTTCAGTAGCCCTTGGTTGAACTGCACGTAGCTGAGTGACTCAGTAGTTCCCTGATGTATACAATCCTCATGACCTACAATGCATTAGCTTTTAGGACTGGAAGTTTCCTCAAAGATCTAGAGGTATGGGTGGGAGGTGGAGTGGGGAAGGGGCAAGAGTGAGGAGTGGTCCATTTACACAGCAGATCTGCTAGATCTTGTGACCTGAATCTTTCTTGAGAATCTTAATATGCAATTGATACTTGATTATTCTCTGGCCTACTTAGTCTCTAATTGTTCCTTCCCTGGTGGCTTTGCTTGCCTAACAACAACAAAAGCTCCCAAGGAGAGACTTTATCATAGTGCTAGGCCCTAGCAGATAATAACTACACACCTTTATCACGGTAGTTACCATTTTATGAGCACCTAACATGTTCCAGACCTTGGATTCTTACAATAATCCTATGAGATGGGCATTATAATCCTCACTATATAAACGAGAAAACCAAGGCTACCAAAGTAGGTAGTGGCAGAGGTGGTTTGATCTCAAGTCTAACTAAAAATCCTCTTCATTAATCTACACTTTTCATGGCATTTCCAATAAGAAAACTTTTGTAGTTTTGATTACCTACATAACTCTCAAACTTTCGTGATTTCTTTCTGTCTATTGAATTAAAACGTTTCAAATTACCTTTAGCATTATTTGTCTTAGTAATTCTTTTAGAAAAGCAAGAGACAGAATTGTCCCAATGACCAATGACTATTTTTTATTTGTCCTGCCAGATCCATTTCCTCCATTTTCTACTCAGCATTGTGCCCTGGAAAGCAGCCTTTACAGACTACACCCTCTGGCTTTCTGTTGGGTAAACCCAACTGGGTAAATGGCATGGGAGGCACTGGATAGAGGTCAAAGGAGGGGAAAGAGTATTAGTGATAATGGTGTTTTTTTGTTTTTATAATTCTGGCATCACTGGACAATGAAGAGGTCCTTCAGGTTAGCTGGGTTTGTCTACAACAGCCACAGCACCTATCCCCTGACTCTCTTCTAGAGCTACAACTATTCTCTTAAGGGCAAAACTGCTCCCTTCCCTGCCCAGTCAGTTTTAGGTGTACCAACTTCTCCCCACTGTTGCTAGCCCCAGGATGCTTCACTATTCCTTGTTACTTTCCCTTAAACTTATTAACACTTGTGTAAATCGTTCCTAAATTAAACTTTCCTCAATTGCTCCATCTGAGATCCGAGTGTATTTCCTACAGGGATTTGGACTGATACAACCTGAGCTCTAAACTCTCCTTGATGCTTTGGATCACTGAAAAAATAAAAGATGCCTTTTCATGCATACACATACATTCATTCCACAAGTATTTATTGAGCTCCAATAGCGTGCCAGGCAGTGGGTTTACAATGGTAACTGATGTGGCCACTGCTCTCCTATAACATAAAATACAGTACGGTAAATAACTTAAACAGATAATCACATTAACTAGTGGAAAACTACAATTGTGCCATGTGCTTTGAAGGGAGGTACATGGCCTGATGAGGACAAACAATAGGGGTCAATCCAGTCAGGGAGATCAGAAAAGGATTGCATGAAAAAGGAAAACTTGAATAGATATCCACAAGACAAATAGGTGTTTATTGGGCATAAAAAGAAAGATCATTCCAGGCACAAGCTGATGGCCAATCAAGGCCAGTGTGGCTGGAACAGAGAAAGCAGGAGGGTGCCTGAGGAAATATGAAGCTGAACAGTCTTTACAGACCATATTGAAAATTTGTTTTTATCCTCCAGTTACAGTGTAGAGAGTGGATTAGAAGGCCACAGTGAAACGAACAAAGACCAGGTGCGAGTCTGTTACTGCAGCAGACCAAGTGAGAAGTGATCTAAATGGTGGTGGGAAAAATGGAGAGAAATTGATAGATCTGCCCCTTCCTGGGAGATTTCAGTGCTTGGTTCCTTATATATATTAATACAACCGTCTAAGGGTAATGACTTCTCAATAAATGGAAAAATGCTACCTTCTCATTGTGGGATGGGGGTCAAGAAACATTGTTCTAGGTCTAAGCAAAAGGATGAAACTCAGTAATGCAGTCTATATACAGGCTCAGGATATAAAAACTGTCCTCATGTTGGCTTCCTGCCTTTTCCTCTAACAACTCTCACTGCTTAGAAAGTCCATGAGAGAGAGAAACCAGAGACCTGAGAGACCTAGAGAGACCTAGGTTTCCATCATGGCTCTTCCACTAACTGCGGACTACGAAATTAATTAATTTCTCTGATCTTTACATTTGTCTTCTGCAAAATGAGAACAGTAAGTACTTCATAGGGTTGTTATAAGGATTAAATTGAGTAACATATGTGTATAAGTATGCCATAGAAAACCAAAACAAAGAAAACATTATATATTAGTAGGTCTTAGGTGTGGCAGATTTCAAGGTTGATTGACTCAGCAGCTTAATTAATTTCTTTCTGACTTTCTCTTCTGTCCCCTTTGATGTGTTAACTCTGTCTTGAGCTGGCTCCCCTCATGATCATAAATTAGAAGTATCACATTTAAAGAAAGAAACACTTAGAGGTAGAAAGGAATATCTTTTTCACTATTGCCTACTTAAATGTGAGAAACCTTTACCAAACAACCACAAACTTATATCTCATTAACTAAAACTACAATAAAGATACATGAAGGCAGGAATTTTTGTCTGTTTTGCTTACTGATGTATCCCCAACATTCAAAACAGTGGTTAGGACTTAATAACTATTTGTTGTCTGAATGGACCACATGCCTAACTTAATCCAATCACTAGTAAGGAAAGTGGTATTGGCACTTTTCTGTAAAAGACAAAATAATGTCAATTTTAGGCTTTGTGGGCCACACACAATCTCTGTAGCATGTTCTTCTTCTTTCAACCCTATAAAAATGTAAAAAATATTCTTAGCTCATGGTCCTCCAAAAACAGGCCAGGGACTAGATGGCTTGCAGGCTGTGGTTTGCTGACCCCTAGCTTAGACTAATCATGTGGGGTAAAATGGAGTCAAGCACCATGATCAGTAGAATATGTAAAGCACACAGCAGGGTCCTCAACATGTAAAAAGCACTCAGTAAATATGTCCTGCCATTGTTTTTGATGATGCTATCATTTTCCTTATTCTTGTTATTCTAGGATAGCTGGACTCTAGAGACCTCTGCTCTGTGATAAACCTGCCATGGGGAGTTGAGTGCCTTTAACCCTGGACTAAAGCAGCATCTAGGGTAGGGACCATGTGAGCCACTGCACAGAAAGACATACTATATAAGAATAGGTAAAGATATAGAAAACAGTAAGTTAAGGGTCAAAAACCAAAATCCACAAAATCAGCAGAGAATGTGATAGGTGTTTTATGGTTGAGAAATGAGTTCCATTCCCAAACATTAGAAAATTCAAAGTTAAAGATGTAAAATAAGTTCCTTTACCATATGAGAGTCTTAAATAGACTAATAGGCAACAATCTCACCAAGGTAAAATCCTATGCATTATTTTCTGTATAACAGAACTTTTTTCCCCAGAGGTCATTGCTATGACATTTTTAAACATTGCTTTTAAGGTTTATAGCTGATCTGTCATCTCCATTGTTTTATATTATCTGATCTTCAACAGCAGCCCACTGAAGTGGGGAAGAATGTTATCATTAGTATTGCTAATCATTCTTGATATTAAAAATATTTAACAACCAATATGGTTTGGGACCAACTATACCTCCCTGAAATGGAATGGATCCTTAATGCCCCCCGCTGGGTCCCACATTAACTCTTTTGTTGCTCAATCATGGGAATATGGGGGGGATCTGAAAGGAGGGGGACAAATGGAATGGCTAGTCATCAAATAATACAGAAGGATTTCAATATTTTAATAAGCAGTATGGCTGTACCACTGTTTCTGAGGTGACTGTCAGCCCTGCCTATTTTTGCCAAACAGGAAAAAAAATGGCTTTTCTAGGACTCTAAATCAGTAAATGGCAGAGCTTGGATTCAAAGTTAATCCTCAAAGATTTAAATCCTCTGCTGTTTTCTTTCTGCCATCCACTGTCTTTACTTTTGTGTTCTTTTTCACATCCTATGGATTACCTAGTCACTAATTCAGACCAGGGAAAAGAACACCAAATTTGGAGACAGTAGGTTTATGTCCAAGTCCTACTTCTGCTATTTATTAATTGTGAGACCTTGGGCAATTCACCTGATCCTACAAGACCATTTATGCACTGGGAAAATTATGGTAATCATGTCTGCATAGCAAGGCAGCTGAAGAAAAGCTTCGTACAATATTAAATGCTATTCAGATGTTAGCCACTCACACAATGTGCAGATTGGCAGTTTTCATCTTAAAAATCAGAATGTTGAACTGGAATTCTTCTTCCAGATGAGGAAACTCAGACTTCTGAGAGATTAAATTACTTGCCCAAGGTCACACAGCTAGTGATGATAGAGCCAGGGCTAATTTCAAAGATCTTGAATTCCAATTCAGGGCTTTCATCTGGGCAGTCTCCAAACTCACATCACAGGCTGCCTACAAAGATGGAAATGTGAATGATATTAACTTACAGTCTCAGCACTGTTGGCAGGCCTTTGTCATCACCTTCTTCCAGGTCTGCTTCTGGCCCAATATACAACTTCTTTAGTTCAGGGGACACCTTGCCAACTGCTAAGTCACTGTAGCAGCTCTGGGACTGCAAGTCATTTCAGCAGCTCTGGGCCTGGAAGAGTAGAAACTGGTGTTAATGACACTACTTCTATAGATACAGCAAGCAGAAGACAGCATGGATAGGGACAGTACCTATCCTACTAGGGTCTGACTTTCAAGCCTCAACTACCATAGGCCAAAGGGGTCATGTTTGCTGGTGTAACAACTGAGAAGAAAGAGTTATTCTCAGCCTAGGAAGATTCAGCATGGGTTACCTCAAAAAGACAACCCTCGATGAAACTCGAATGGATATTCCCCATTCCCAAAACTCTAGGTAAGTTGAGTAAAGCAATGCAGTTTTGTGATATAAACCTGATTTTGAAGTAGGTAATTTCTGAATTCATAAACCAAGTTGTCCACTCACTAGCTCTGGTAGTTATTTGCATCACCCTCAAAATGTCTCACTCTGTCTTCCAGCACATGATAGGGCTCCATTTTCCTAGTATGCCTATATTTGTGTGGAGTCATGTGACTAATCCTGACCAATGCATTTTGAGAAAAAGGGCTGTATGTCACTCACAGGCCAACTTTTATTGCTGGTGTGACACTGTCTAGAGATATCTTTTCCTCTGGCACAGCAATATTTGTGATGGTTGCTGTTCTGTGGCCTGGATCCCTAAGGACGACAAGTGGGGCCCTCCAGCTGACTCAATATGAACACATGAGACAAGCAAAAAATAAACCTTTGTGTTTTAAGTCACTGAGATATAAAGATTGTTTATTATCACAGCATAATCTAGCCTACCCAAGTTGATATGCTAGCTATATGATTTTTAGTAAGTTACTTAGCATTTCTGAGCATGAATTTCTGGTGTTTAAAATAAGGATACACACCTTTTCAGGGCTGGGAGGATGACCAAAGGTTCATGTAAAGTACCACACAGCTCCCAGCACATATCTGGTACTCAAGCAATGTTAGCTATTTCTATTATCAAAATAGTCAGGGAGAAAAGCCAGGTGGAATCAAGATATCCTTAAGCAAACACACAGTTCACAGACTCTACTCAGCCAGTAACCTAGACACAGAGCTTTGGCAGCCAGGTCAGGCAGCTAGAGGGAGGCCCTTGAATGCCTCCAGTCATTCATTCATTCTTTCATTTTATAAATATACAGTAAGTACCTGCAATGTGATAATCACTGTTCTGTAAATATAACAGAAAAAAAAAAGTCCCAGCTCTCATGGACTTTGCCTATACCACCTAATGCATTTGAATGGCTTGCTATCAATCAGGTTACCTAACTGTATCCTCAGAAAGAATAAGAAACCTGGAATCTGACCCTTTGCATTTTAGGGATTTTTTAACTACTTGGAAATATTTTCATATATATTAACAGATTTAATCCTCACTGCACTCTTACAAACAGGATAAGAAATTATTACTATATATATATATATATATATATATATATATTCATAAGTAGGGAAACTAAGGCTGGAAAAAGTTATTATTTTGTTTTTATTAGCATCCAGCTACTCAGTGGCACTGCCAGATCTAGAGTCTGCACTCTCAGATTCCTCATTCAGGGTCATTTTTTTTTTTTTTTAATCCCAGATTGACAATAAAAACCCGAATCACTGCTTTGTCCGAGGATACCCCTGGATAACACCTATATTAAAGCACTGTAGGTGAAATATAAGATTGTTGTTCTATGAGTATAATAATAATAATACTAAACCACCAATAGTATACTAGTCCAATACCAAATTCTGCCTACTAATGGATCAAATTTCAGGAAGTTCCTACTTCACAACTCCATGTGTGGACAGAGACCTAAGCACACATCTAATGTAGGCATTATTGCCACACTGGTGCAGTATGTAATAAGGAAAAACCAATGCAAATAGTATTTGGCTTCCCACATTTTTCATTTGAGTAAATGTCCTAGAAATCTAGGCCACATCTAGTCCCTCACCAACAGCTCAGTATTTCACTCTAAACCCATGCCTTGAAAATCCAATATATCAAGGATCAGTTCAAATGTCACCTCATTTATGAAATCTTCCTTGATTGCCCTATCAAAAATCACCTCCTATTAGCTTTGTTTGTATCTTAACCTGGTACCTACTATATCCTGAAGTCATATTCAGGATGGCAGTGAAACAGCCAGCTGCTAATAAGCTGCTATTCCACATAGGGAAAAGATGGAAAATAAAATAAGAAATATAGATGGAGCGAATTAGGGTAGCCACCGCATGCTAGACTAAAAAGCTAGATTTTCCTCTACAGGCAAGAATAGCTGCTGGGAAACATACAGTATTTACAAAATAGAAATAAAATCATATTATCACTTGTGCTACTAAAGGAAAGGGAGAAAATGCATTCGAAATCAGTGTTTGGATAATGTTAAATGATAATCTGAAGAGTTATTTTTGTCTTGGAGATGTTCTTAGATTTACATTTGACTAGTTAGATTTGGTTCAAATATGATAAACAAGTTTCAACTGAACACCTGAATCCTCACACTTGAGAAACTGTCTCTGCAGGGCCATAATCTGTGAAATCTTGCAGGGATTCTCCTAGATCACTACTTTCATGGAAAATAGCCTCCACCTTCTCAGCAGATCAGAGAACTCTGGCTTTGGAAAGTGAATCCGTATTTACACAAGAAACCATTATAATCGCCAAGAGAACCTGGTTTTTCTTCAGTTGGTAAACACATCGTTCATGGCAACTAACTAACACTTTATACCTTTTCCTAATTGTTGTGTGAAACTCTGAGGTGCTTTTACTTGTGTGTGTTTAAGACACACACACTGCTCTACATGAGTTGAGCGTTGAGTGGTCAGGAACAGCCTTTCAGCATCTCCTAAGTAAAATCATCAGGACTCCTCTCCACCAGCACTGGCTCCAACTCACCAACTGGACTTGGATGGAACCGGTTCAAGTCCCATCTCACAGGAAGCCTGTCCTGACAGTAGTTGTTGTCCCAAACCAACTCGATGCCACTAATCTGGCCAAATCTTTGCGGACCTGAACCCTTTTTTTTTTTTTTTTTTCGGTATGCGGGCCTCTCACTGCTGTGGCCTCTCCCGTTGCGGAGCACAGGCTCCGGACGCGCAGGCCCAGTGGCCATGGCTCACGGGCCCAGCCGCTCCGCGGCATGTGGGATCTTCCCGGACCCGGGCACGAACCCATGTCCCATGCATAGGCAGGCGGACCCTCAACCACTGCGCCACCAGGGAAGCCCCGACCTGAACCCTCTTGACGACGGTCTCCATTTTGTTTTTTCTGCGCTTGTTCCCAGAATCACTTCCCGCTGAGCCCGGCAAAGGTCTCTCTAGCTCTCAGTCTTCCAGCACCTCTCTATGGTACATCCACGATTCTATACACATGTATAATGAGCGCTACTAATTATCCCTTCTTCACTGCTCTTGATTCTTCCCAACTACTCTTAGTTATTAAGACCTAAGTGTAAGAACTATTAAGAACTTAGTTAGTAGGAAAACACCAGCCTTAGCTAAACTGCATTTTGCACGTTCCCTGTACAGTGCTCTTCAAACTTTTTGGATTACTTACTCGCCAAAAGATTGAAAGCTATCTACCCATTCACACATTTTTAAGTTGTCCTCTAAAAGTCTTCACCAAAAATTTAAATAATTGCAAAGGGTGATATTTCCAGTGTATTGTAAATAATAACATTTAAAAACAAAACTATTGCATCCCTTTATAAATTTGTCCAATGAATTCTAAATACTACAGTGATTTGATACCGATCCATTTGAAAATAGGTAAATGAACACTTCTTTAACATACGTTTACATTGTTGTTTTTCTTTTGTTATCAGAGAATGCCCCCGTAGAATTTATCTAAATGAACTATATCATTATGCTTTGTTGATCACCCTATCATAGTTCTAACAAAAAGATGTATGTTATCTGCAATATGTATTTATGTTTTTAATTCCTTATACCCATAATTCTCTTATGTTTATAATTTCTTCTAGATTGAGTTAGGCATTAAAATTATTAGTAGTACACATCTGTTCCAAATAACATAAATATATTACAAAGTTTGATAATAATTATTCAACATAAAAAGTAAAATTTTACTAGACACATATCTTTTAATAATATATAAACATAATATATTACATATAATATATTATACAGATATAATATATATTACATATTTTACAAAATACCTCATAGGAAATGTAGGGCTAAAGTTGCAATAGGAAGACAATTAGAACTATGACAGTCTTTTACAAGATGAAGAAGACAGGACCAACCTCCTTGCTTTCTATAAAAGCTCTTCAGCCAGGCATCTGAAAACCTCTCACGTTGGGCCTAAGCTTTCCTTTCTAGATTTTTCTTTCACAATTTCCTTTACAAAATGCTCCCCTCTGCCAACACATATTTTTCTAATTTCTGCTTTCTGTTTTACATGAGGTACCCTCTCCCCAGGCAACACAGTATAGTAAGATTTGGAAATGGTGAGAGGTATGCCTTTCTCTTGTCAAGCAGTAGAAAGATGATTTTAAAAGGAAAGTTTGAGAAAGGGAACTAGAATGACATCCACCCCAGGCTGATCAATTTTAGAAAAAAGTAAATATGGAGTTTTAGGATCTAGAAACAAATTCCCTAAATCTCTCTAAGCCCACTCAACCCCTTAAAGAGTTTCTGGTTTCTGTGTACACTAGGGGTACAAGAAATCCAGTTTGCTGATAGCTGGTCTAAAGACTAGATATTTGGATTTCAAATGGCTCAACTGATGGGCATTTTCTGGATACAAAGTACAAATAAACAGGTAGAAAAGAGAAATAGCATTTATTGAGTCTAGACTATGTGTCAGCCACTGGGCTAGGTGATTTCAGGTACACTAACTGATTTCTTTTTTTTTTAAATATTTATGTATTTATTTGGTTGCGTGGGGTCTTAGTTGCCACAGGCAGGCTCCTTAGTTGAGGCACGCGGGCTCCCTAGTTGTGTCATGCAAACTGTTAGTTGTGGCATGCATGTGGGATCTGGTTCCCTGACCAGGGATTGAACCCGGGCCCCCTGCATTGGGAGTGCAGAGTTTATCCACTGTGCCACCAGGGAAGTCCCTACACTAACTGATTTCAGTTCTTACATTAACTCTGATAGAAAGATGGAGTGTGTATGAGCTTCCTCCACAACCTGGCATGCAAATATTATCACACTCTTTTATTTATTTAAAATCAAATTCGGTTCAGCCCCACCTGAGATGGCTAAAAATCAGCCACCATTTGATTCCCTCTTGACTCTCCACAGCAATCCCCCACTTCCAAACAAAGCTCTGGGTTGTGGTGGCCTTGGGGGAGAGGGATGCCTTATCTAAAAAGAAACTTAATTCCCTTAGGGACCAGGGAGCACAGAACACAAAGACCTGGATATAGGGAGTGAGGAGCATGGCAGGGAGAAGGAAAATTACCTTTCAAATTTCCCAACTTTCTATAACATTGAAACAAGGCAAGATAACAGGTACACCTCAGTAAAAATTTCCAGTGGCATAGTTACTCTTATCTATATTTTAGAAGTGAGAAAACTGAAATTCAAGGAGTGTAAACAAGTTGCCTAAGGCAAAGAGACAGCGAGGAATGGTTTTTCAGTGGATATTTGTGGCTAGACCTATAAGTGGAACACTGAAGCCTTGGTGGGATTTGTTGCTCAAAGACAGGCTATACATGAGATTCTTGTGTGTCAGGTGCTATCCACTTTTCTTGCTTCCTCCATTGACATCTGTGCTTTTGATTGGCAGCAAAGTCCCTTGATCCCACTGGGGTAATTCCAGTGGAAAACTTAACAGCTAAGTGGCATATTTACTGGGCATCTTTCATGGCAGTCCCTTTTGCCAGCCTACTGAGGGATTCCTGGGAGATTCTGGTCTGCCGTGCTTCCACCAAACAGGGGATATGGAAAACAGACAGTCCAAAATTTGACATACAGATGATGGAGCCAATAATTAATTGAGATATCCGTTTCTTTAAACCCCAAATCCAGACATTTCCTTTCTGATTCTATCAGTGTTCACACAGTACAAACAACATGAAATGAAAGATCATTTCGTGAAAGATCGTTTACCTTTTTACCCTCTCCCTGAACTTAGGGTGCATCCCTCAGAGAATAGTCCAGGTTCAATGTTGAGTCAACACTTGGCTTGACTGTCTTCTACTCAGCCCCTCACCATAACCAGAGGGAAATATTCTAATGCTGCAGAAGTCAGTCTTTCTAAGATTTAAGACCTTCAGTACATAGTTCTTGAGAGAAAAATCTCATCAGTGACTTCCTTTCTATTATTTCAATTCAAAATGTATTTTTAAACCATTTCTATCTGCTTGATGCCATAAGATATATAAAAATAAAATACTTGCAATAGAGTTAGGGGTCTAAAATGTGTAAGAGGAACAACTGAGTTTCTCAGCAGCAGAGACAGAGTTTTCACTCTGTAATCCTGGAGCCTGGCCTGATGAGTGGTACTCTGAAAGTGCCTAATGAGTATGAAATGAATTGAATCAGAGTAAATCTAAATAAGTCAAATATAAGGAGATGAGTGGAACCAAGAAATAAAAGATAGTCTGACGACCAAGTTAGAGAAGGCCTTAGGGATGGGGCAAGCCTGGTCTTGAGGGACAGGTAGGTGCTCAGTACAGAGAGGGTATTTTATATCAAGCAAAAAGCAGAAATTAGAAAAATGTGTGTTTTCAGAAGAGGAGAGAACTTTGTAAAGGAAATTGTGAAAGAAAAATCTAGAAAGAGAAGTTTAGGAAGTTTGGGGAAGTTTTCAAATCCCTGGCTAAAGAGTCAGGCCTTTCTTCTATATGCTGAAGAGTCTTTCTAGAAAGCAGAGGTGTTGCTACTACCTCTGCACCTCGTAAAAGACTGTCATACCTCTGATAGCCTTCCCATTGTAACTTCAGCCCTACATTTACTACAAGGTATTCTGTAAAATATGTAATAAAAAACTTTGTCACTATGGTTAGGAAGCAGATAGGCAGGTGTTTGTGTGTGTGTGTGTTTACTTAGGAGGGAAGTTTCAGAGTTATTGCAAAGAATCAGAGAATCCATATTTACAAACTGTACTATCTGTAAAATACACAAATAACACCTCACAGATACAAGTATCACTATTTTCAAAATGTATATATATATATATATATATATATATAGTTGGTATTAAAAAATATAAATTAGTCTAAACATGTGACAATTTAGAATAACTCTTCAGTTAGTTCCTCAGTTTGATACAGCTAATATCATGTAAGGCTCTGTGAGTACTTTGTGATTAGAGAGAAGTGTTCAACCTCAGGAATCTTGAGAACCACTGTACTGAGGAAAATTCTTCAACATGCGATCTCATGGGTCATCATAATCCCAGTATATGAATACACACGCTGTAAAGAAGCAAACTCCCCTTCTCTGAAATTGTCAATGCAGGGATTATCTTTGCAAGAAGAGGTAGCCAGACCTGTCAGCCCCAAATCTTCTAGTTCAGGATCCATCTTCTACTCAAGGAAAGCAGGTAGAGAATAATTGGGTAATTATTGGATAATTGTCGCACAAGTTAATAGGAGACAGAAAAGTGAGAAGGGACATGAGCTCCACCACTGTGACAGGTTGACTGCACTAATGGCCCTGATTTTTCACCTGTCCAGGCCCTAGAACTCTGGTCATGTGATTTGCTTTGCCAAATAGGATGTTAGTAGATATGACACATGTAGAGATTTCAAGATCACTTATATGCCTCTGCTTGTCGCTCTTGCCCTCTGCCATGCCATGAGATGGGCATGCCTAGGCTAGCATGCTGTAGGATGAGCAAGAAGTGAAACCAAAAAAAAATTCCCAGTCATTCCAGCAGAGGTCATCCTCTATCAGCCAATAACCAGCCAAACTCCAGACATGTGAGCAAGCCTAACCAAGACGACAGAGCCACATAGCCATCCCAGAGCTGGCCACAAGAGTGAGACCAGCTAAAATAAGCCAAGTCCAGATGACTTTAGCTTTACCCCACAGACCCACGTGCAAAAACAAATGTTTACTATTGTATGTCAATGAGGTTTTGTGGTTGTTTATTATGCAGTATTAGTGTGGCAACAGATTACTGAAACTACCACTTACCAGTTCTGTAACCATCAGCTATAAAGTGGAGATGTAAAGGTACTGACTTTCAAGGACTGGCACGAGCATTAATTGAGACAATATGCATGGAGTTCTTAACACTGTGTTTGGCACCTAGCCTGTACCCCACAAGTGTTTAACAGTGTATGGAGAGCAAGAAAGTAAGAGTGGGAATGAGAGAGAGAGACAGAGAAAGGGAGGCAGGGAGAGAGAATGAATTACTGCTACCCCCATCACTCTGACCTCAAGGGGCATTCCTGTTTTTTGACTCAAATGGCATAGCAGAGCCAAGATCAAGTTTAAGCATTTAAATAAAACTTTTGCTGCAGGTTCTCTGATCACCAAAGGAAAACAGAGTAATATGACTCAAGATAATCTATCTTCCAGAATATCTCCAGCTGTGTCTTCCAAAATATCTTCTGCGGGAGTGTCTCTTGGTGTGCCCCTTCTGACTCCAGATAAAAGTAAAAAATCTTTCCTCAGTACTCGGTAAGGCCCTCAAGCCCATCTCAAAGTCCAGGCTCACAAAGAAGCAGACTTAAAAGAAGCAGGTGTTGTCTCCCTGTCTAAGAGCTGCCTCCAGAAAATTAGGAGAATCAATGTCCGGTCAGAAGAGTGATCCCTTCCACAGATGTTGTACTCAAAGACCCATCCCCCTTTAGAGGGGGACCCCATTACCTAGTCATGGTAGAGTAGCCTTAACAAAACAACCATGTCAGAACACAGTACAATAGTTCATACACCTGTACAAGATGTACAAGCAGGCAGGGGGCATTGGGGAGATGAGTCCACAGATAAAAGAGAAAACAATGCTCATGGAGCCTTTGTTCATTACATCTTCTACCTGCAATGCCAGGTCCCTTCTCTCCCTCCCATTTCCACTGTTCAAATTCCAGCTGGTACTTCAAGGCCATCTCATATGGTCTTGTCTCTGAAGTTTTCTCTGACTGTCATCCCAGTTCAAACTTCCGTAGGCATTTGTCCATAGAATAATCACATAGAAGAGGGGGGAAATATAATTTTGACAGTCAGAATCCCAGCTATGCCACTCATTCTCAATAGAACCTTAGGCAAGTTGCTTACTCCATCTGAGTCTCCGTTTCCTCTTCTAAAAATTGAGATGGGGGCTCCCCTGGTAGCACAGTGGCTAAGAATCCACCTGCCAATGCAGGGGACACAGGTTAGAGCCCTGGTCCAGGAAGCTCCCACATGTGTGGAGCAACTAAGCACATGCGCCACAACTACTGAGCCTGCGCTCTAGAGCCTGTGCTCCACACCAAAGAGAAGCCACCACGATGAGAAGCCCACACACCGCAACTAAGAGTAGCCCCTGCTCACTGCAACTAGAGAAAGCCCGTGTGCAGCAATGAAGACCCAACACAGCCAAAAGTAATAAATAAATAAATAAATTTATTTAAAAAAAAAATTGAGATGGTAATAGCACCTACCTTGAACAATGAGGAAGTTTTCTATTAAAGTACTTGGTACAGTCTGGCATATAGTAGATATTATTATTATCATTGAAATAATTATCTTGTAGTATGTGGAGTACTAGCATAATATCTGGCACACAGTAGTGAAATATTATTTTTTTTTATTACTGAAGCATTTCATAGCCTATATTTTCTACTTTTCCTCTAAGGATTCTTAATTCACACTAAGGACCTCTTTTGTAGTTAGTCACTTACCCATTTTATGAGTCTAAACTCTTGAAGGCACGTTATTCCAAAACACCTTATCTGTGGAGGGCAGAGAAATTTGAGGTATTCATAGTTTAGTGTTATTTCCTCTCTGGTCAGCAATTGCTAACCTCCCTCCTAATGAAAAAAATACCACCCTTAAATGCAAGTCCAGCTGTGCTGCTCTGCAGGGGTAACTGAACTCTTGGAGGGACATGTGGTCTCTTTTTCCCTTAGCAACCAGGAAGAATCTAAATTAATGTATCAAATCTCCAGCATTCCCTAGGCAGCCAGACACACAGACAGCCTGGAGAGAGGGACTGTCATTAAATGAGTTGTGACTAAGAAAACAAGAACTTCTTCCCACATTAATAAATATGGCAAATCCCAGCCTGGGTGCCTAGGTTCTGGGCAGAAATTGCTTTAGAATTTTTTTTCCAGTGAGTCATAATCGTCATGGTCCTAACACCTGTCACTAGAAAAAGAAAAAAATCAGTGTAATCACCAGAGCAGTTGCCTCAGGAATACATTCTTTTAGTAGTTTGGTTGGAGGAAGTTCAAGAATGCAAGTGATGGGTTAGTTTCAAATGCAGAGTGACCGGAGTTGCCCTAAGTGCTGAGCTCTCTGAATTTAAGGGCAAGTGGTGGAGGAAAGAGAAGTTATAGTATTATTAACAGCACAAAATCAAGTTATTGAAGATTCATTCAGTAATGAGTAAAATCAGCTCTGATACCAATCCTTCTAGTCCACATGAAAATATGAAAAAAAAAATTATTAGATTCCCCAACCAAGCAATTAGTAATGGGGTTGGCCTGATAAAAAGATAAGAATTAATGGCCTAAAGAACGATGGTCTGGGATTACACCCACCTTTTAAAATAAAGCCAGATGAAAAGATGACTAAGCAGGGGAAGGGTGTTTAGGTGGTAGGGTAGAGCTTACAGTTGATAGCACACTGGTGGCAATATTATTTTCTTGTTGTCCATGTTATTAAATTCCTTAAAGGTCCCGTAGGCCATCTAGATGAAACTAAAACCACAAACCAGTGTAGTCATCTTGTTCCTAGACCACCAACAATGAAATTCCTGTTGCTAATGGTCAATTTCCTTGAAATCATTTTAGCAAATCGAATTCTAATAAAGAGCCTCCAGTTTTGATGTTGGCCAGCTTTCAAGCCCTACCCCTCCTACTGCCTCTTTTTGTCCCACACCAGAGCAAGCCATAACAGGGTACACACACTCTCTCCCTTGGCACCAACAGACTATTCAAACCACACAAATGTTGGCCAGAGATAACACTTATCCTGGCCCTATCCCCTAACCCTAATAAATAAAAACCAAAGTTACTCGTTTCTCCTTTCACTCAAACATTCCACACACGCCTGAGTACCAGGCCTATCCTTTCCCAGGAAGAAAAGACATAAAAACATACAGATTTGAAAGGAAACATAAAACTGTCTTTCTTTGAAGATGGCATGATTATATAAAATCCTAAGGAATCTACATGAAAGGAACAGGAAGTAATATGTGAGTTTAGCAAACTGGCAGCATACAAGATCAGTATAAAAATCAATTGTATTTCTATCAACTAGCAGCAATTGTAAATGGAAATTATTTTTTAATTATCATTTACAGTAATATCAGATCCATAAAATTCTTAGGTATAAACATAACAAAATATATGTCATGACCTGCACATAGAAAACTATAAAGCATTGCTGAGAAAATTTAAAAGACATAAAGAAATTGAGAGATATACCATGCTCATGGATCTGAATATTCAATAACTCAATATTAAGATGTCAATTGTTTCTAAATTAATTTATAGATTCAATGAAATCCCAATCAAAAATCCCAGTTGACAAGCTGATCCTCAAATGTATATAGACATACAAAGGAAATAAACTAGCCAAAATCCTTTTGAAAAAAGAACAAAGTTAATTTCATAACTTACTATAATGCTACAGTAAAAAAGAAAGAATGATACTGGCATACAGTTAAATATATAGATCAAAGGAACAGAATTTAAAATCTATAACAGATAAATTTATTCTATAAATATAAAGTATATATATACATCCAATTTATTTTCAATCAGTTGGATTGAAACAATGTTCCAAGGCAATTCAGTGAGGAAAAGGAAATCTTTCCAACAAATCATGCTGAAATAACTGATTATCAAAAAAGAAAAGAGAAACCTCTCAACTCTTACATTCTCCACTATGTAAAAATTAACTTGAAATGGATCACAGAACCAAATATAGTTTTAGTAAGAGCTAAAACTATAAAATTTCCAGAAGAAATCATAAAAGAAAAATCTTAGTGACTTTGGTTAGGCAAAGTTTTCTTAAATTGGATACAAAAAGCACAAAATATTTAAAAATTGAATCCCATCAAAATTTAAAACTTTTGCTCTTCCAAAGACACTGTTAAGAAAATGAAAAGGCAATCCATAGGCTATTATATGAAAATATTTGTAAAACATATATCCATTGAAGGACTTTTTATATTTTTTAAATCCCTTAAAATTCATTAAGAAGGAAACAACAACAACAAAAAGAGCAAATGTTTTGAACAGACACTTCACCAAAGGAGATATATGGATGGCAAAACAGTCTCAACATCATTAGTCATCAGGGAAATGTAAATTAAAACCATAATCGAATACTACCAGTCATACTCTAGAACTCTGGAATTTCTAAAATCAAAAAGACTGACAATGCCAAAGGGTTGGCAAGAATGTGGGGCAACTGAAATGCTCATAAATTTAGATTTCTTAAAGAGTTAAGCATAAATCCACTTCAGTTTTAGTCAGAAACTGGCTGAGGTAGAATCCAGGGCCTAAGCATTTTAAAGCCTAGTTAGTCAGAAGCCAGGTAGGGTCTAAATCCATTTCAGTTTTAGTCAGAAAGTGGCAGAGGTACAATGCAGGGCCCAAGCATTTAAAGCCTAGTTATTCAGAAGCCGGTGAGGGCCAAAATCCATTCAGTTTTAGGCAGAAACTTGCTGAGGTAGAATCCAGGCCCTAAGCATTTTAAAGCCTAGTTATTCAGAAGAGGGGGGCTTCTGGGAAGACGGCGGAAGAGTAAGACGCGGAGATCACCTTCCTCCCCACAGATACACCAGAAACACATCTACACGTGGGACAACTCCTACAGAACACCTACTGAACGCTGGCAGAACACCTCACCCCCCCCAAAAAAAAAGAAACCCCCCCCCCCCCCCCCGCCACGTACCTGGGTAGGGAAAAAGAGAAAAGAATAAACAGAGACAAAAGAATAGGTACGGGACCTGCACCAGTGGGAGGGAGCTGTGAAGGAGGAAATACTAGGAAGCCACATACTAGGAAGCCCCTTCGCGGGCGGAGACTGCGGATGGCGGAGGGGAAGCTTCGGAGCCGCGGAGGAAAGCACAGCAACAGGGGTGCGGAGGGCAAAGCGGGGAGATTCCCGCACAGAGGATCAGGGCCGAGCGGCACTCACCAGCCTGAGAGGCTTGTCTGCTCACCCGCCGGGGCGGGCGGGGCTGGGAGCTGAGGTTCGGGCTTCGGTCGGAGCGCAGGGAGAGGACTGGGGTTGGCGGCGTGAACACAGCCTGCAGGGTGTTAGTGCGCCACGGCCAGCCGGGAGGGAGTCCGGGAAAAGTCTGCACCTGCCAAAGAGGCAAGAGACGTTTTCTTCCCTCTTTGTTTCCTGGTGCGCGAGGAGAGGGGATTAAGAGCGCTGCTTAAAGGAGCTCCAGAGACGGGCGCGAGCCGCGGCTAAAAGCGCGAACCCCAGAGACGGGCATGAGACGCTAAGGCTGCTGCTGCCGCCACCAAGAAGCCTGTGTGCGAGCACAGGTCACCCTCCACACTCCCCTTCCGGGGAGTCTGTGCAGCCCGCCACTCCCACGGTCCCGGGATCCAGGGACAACTCCCCCGGGAGAACGCACGGCGCGCCTCAGGCTGGTGCAACGTCACGCAGGCGTCTGCCGCCGCAGGCCCGCCCTGCACGCAGTGCCTCTCCCTCCCCCCGGCCTGAGTGCGCCAGAGCCCCCGAATCAGCGGCTCCTTTAACCCCGTCCTGTCTGAGCGAAGAGCAGACGCCCTCCGGCGACCTACACGCAGGGGCAGGGCCAAATCCAAAGCTGAGCCCCTGGGAGCTGTGAGAACAAAGAAGAGAAAGGGAAATCTCTCCCAGCAGCCTCAGAAGCAGCGGATTAAAGCTCCACAATCAACTTGATGTACCTGCATCTGTGGAATACCTGAATAGACAACGAATCATCCCAAATAGAGGAGGTGGACTTTGGGAGCATCGATATATATATATTTTTCCCCTTCTCCTCTTTTTGTGTGTATGTGTATGCTTCTGTGTGAGATTATGTCTGTATAGCTTTGCTTCCACCATTTGTCCTAGGGTTCTATCCGTCCATTTTTTTGTTTGTTTCTTTTTGTTTTTTAATAATTATTTTTTTATTTTAATAACTTTATTATATTTTATCTTACTTTATTTTGCTTTATCTTCTTTCTTTCTTTCTTTCCTTCCTTCCCTCCTTCCTTCCTTCCTCCCTCCCTCCCTCCTTTTTCTCTTTCTTTCTTTCTTTCTTTCTTTCTACTTCTACTAATTCTTTCTTTCTACTTTTCCTCCCTTTTATTCTGAGCCGAGTGGATGAAAGGCTCTTGGTGCTGCAGTCAGGAGTCACTGCTGTGCCTCTGAGGTGGGAGAGCCAACTTCAGGACACTGGTCCACAAGAGACCTCCCAGCTCCACATAATATCAAATGGTGAAAATCTCCCAGAGATCTCCATCTCAACACCAGCACCCAGCTCCACTCAACGACCAGCAAGCTACAGTGCTGGACATCCTATGCCAAACAACTAGCAAGACAAGAACACAACCCCACCCATTAGCAGAGAGGCTGCCTAAAATCATAATAAGTCCACAGACACCCCAAAACACACCACCAGACGTGGACCTGCCCACCAGAAAGACAAGATCCAGCCTCATCCACCAGAACACAGGCACTAGTCCCCTCCACCAGGAAGCCTACACAACCCACTGAACCAACCTTAGCCACTGGG